CAGGAAAATTGCCAATCTTATCAACAGCAGACCCCGAAGCGTGCAATGGCTTGTTCTGACAAAGCCAGCCCTGAACTCCAAATTGTTGCGCAGTGAGGCAATGGACCACTGGATGATGCGGGCGAATCAAATCTGACTCAACCAAGAACAAAACGAACACGACAAACGCCGAATCAGAACTGCGGACCGGTGCAACTGCGCCCAGTGATCCGGGCAAACATGAGGCGACGTTGCGTCACCTGTAACGGTGAGACTGAGACTTCGAGGCGTGTGCCGAAGAGTGGTCGCTGAGGTCGCCCGTACGGCACCTCTGCACGTCCGTGGAACAACCGAAGGACACTGCTCCAGTTGCGGGTGTGTTGTAAAAGCCAAGCAAAATAGTTGCCCAGCCGCACTTGGGTGAGTCAGTACAACAATACAACACCTGACACATTAGTGTGATAAGATCGAAGGAGCAACAGGCAACCATGTAGTTCAGCTCCAGCTTCACAGGAAAACCCTGCGTCATGAGCATTTCCAATGGAGTGAGTGCGCCGAACACATAGTACTGCAGCTTGATCTGCTGGTTGGCGTCACCTGGCGTGCTGCAGGCGTTGGGGTCGGGCGACAACTACAACTGCGCCACTAGAACTAGTATCCATAGAAGGGGTCGGTTGTCGCTTCTCGAACAGTGTTGCCCCACTCACAGTCAGTCAGCGCCTGCGTCGTTTGTGTGGAGAGAACGTCACAGTCGCAGTCACCGCCGCAACGCACGTGGACAACGTCCCCGCGCACAGCGGCGCACACACACACACACACCCAGGGCACAAGGACACACACACACAGAATACGTACACACAGTAGTAATCACAGTCACAAAAACTATTACACTGAATCATGCACCGTGTCGTATGGTGTGAACACGAAATATGAACCTTGATGGAAGCACTGCGCCGCACGTCCACAGGTTTTACCGTCACATTGACGCTAACCACTTTAACGCAATGTCCGGGCAGCTCAGGCGCACACAGGTTCAGATCCTCCTTTGGCTTCGCCGGTTTCCGCTGCAGTTGGCATCGTCATACTCAGAGCCAAGCGATGGTTCCGAATGCTGCCTGGCGTATGGAATCTGGAAGGCCGCAGGTGGAAACAACCGCTGGCTGAAACACACGCGCGCGGGACGCGCTGAACATACGCATGTATGGCAGTTGAGTCAGTAGCGTTTGCCTCTTTGCTAAAAATCATTGATCAGAGTCAAAGTCATAGGAGAAGAACTCTGTCGAACTTGACATCAGTTCTTGGAAAGACCATCATGAGTCATGTTGGGTGCATTGGTCACACATAAGTTGCAACGACTGGCAACTTCATTTGTAGCATCCAGCACGAGCGTGATCCACCCAAGCGACGCAAAACATACACTTATGCGCTTAGGTACTGAGAACCGAAGCCAAAGGCGCATTCGGCGCATTGCCCCACCACCGTTGCGGGTGGCACGGCTACAAGGAGAGAAGATCAAGAGGCTGCTCGCGCTGAGCTTGCCAAAGGACGGAGTTGAAGGAGTAGCCGCGGGGACTTTGATGGTTGCTCAGAAACCGGCCTACGGGACTGCAGACATTCCAAGAGGAATTTGGAAGACCCTCCACACCGAGGTCAGCAAGTGTGGCATCACTATCACGCAGGGATGTTATGCTAAGACACATCAGAGTGACGCTACGCGCTGCCATGTGGACGGTCGCTTCTGGTGTGGCTGGGAGATCACGCGCGCTGATGGATGACCTGCAGAAGAAGCTGAAGTTCGGCAAGTCAGAGACTGGATCAGATTTCACGCTTTGTGGAAGGCGCATCCAAGAAGCAGATCAAGATTTCCTGCCCGTGTGCTACCAATAAGCTGAGGGCCATCTATAGACTCCACAGCGGAAGGCGGAAAGAGGACAAATGGCAACGTGGAAGGAGACATCGCAGCAGAAGAGCGTGGTTGGTTGGCAGCCTCAACTAGTTGGTACGAATTTGCAGACCTGATCTGGCGCACGAGATCAACTTTTTGCAGACAGCGCGAAACACGATTTGTTGCATGCGAACCAGCTGGTCAAGCGGGCGCTCCAGAGCATGGATATGGGCGTCACCTACATCAAGAAGGCCTTCAACTTAAAGGAGAGTGTGATTGTCAGTGTGACAGATGCGTCGCGCGCGCATCGCTCTCAGAGTGGACGAGTTCTCGGACTGGTTGGTCCGGACTTCAAGAAGGAGATGAAGGGCGTGTTCCACGCCATTGGGTGGTGCGGGCGGAGACGCGCAGCATGCTTGCGCATCCACGCTTTGTGACGGACGGCCTGATCATCCTGCAGGCAGAGGACAATGGCAGGTCCAGGCAATGGACCACAAGGAGATCATCATGCTGACAGACTGCCGCAGGAGGTGCTGGATTCACTCCTTGCCATCGGTCTTAGCGGAATGTGACAGGTGATTTGGCGTGAACGGATGAGATTACACTGCATGGGTCGTATTGGGTGAGCACGAAGACGATGGTGGCGGACTGAGCTCAAGATCCTTATGGAAAGGCGGATCGCGTGGTGTTTTATAATTCAGCATGCCACATAGGGTCAGAAAAGACACGGTCGACCTGTGTCAAGAAACCGAAGGTTGTGCGGCACGTATCAGGCCGACACAGGATCGCCCACACGGTGGCTCAAGCCAGCAAAAAGGCGCCGTCCGCTCCAGTGTCAATCCGACTGTTCGGCGTCCTGGGCATGAGCATTAACACGCTCATGAAAAAACCGCCCACGTGCATGCCCAACCGAAGCACCCATGCGGGCACAAATGATGATAAACAGGTTCACTCGCACCTGCAGCCTCTGCGCCCACGCTGGCGCATATGAAGGGCCTTGACGGCACCCCGGGCAGAAAGCAAACAGCAGCACGGCAAAGCGTCAGTGAATCGCGGCGACGACAAGGCTGCCAGCGACTGCGACATGGGAGAGGCTGTGTTTGTCCTGCACCAGTTGGATGAGTTCTTCGAGGTTGATGCGGGCAATGATGGGCAGAAGGCGTCTGCCATCAAAATGATCCTTCCTTTGATTTCTGGGCGCCATAAAGCCTTCCCCGCCAATGTTGCGGGCGGGACGCAGCCTTGGAATTCATCACTGTGCGTAGCAGCTGCGATATCCCCAATTACCAGACTTTTCATGGCTTGCATGATTTCCGCTTCTCATCATGGCCCTCAATTTCTCATGGCTTCCATGGCCTGAACAGTTTGCACGTGCTTTCAATCTTTCCGCGTTCCACTGGTGCGCTTACCAGGCGCACTAGTTAACCACTTTAGCATGGCTCCGGCTGCGGCTGCTGAACGGGCGTGCTTATCATGTGGCAGGCGCAACCCCACTTTATTAATCGCAACCCTGCTTAGCAAAACGCAGCCGCCAAGAGTCAGTGGCGCTGAAATTCGGAGACGTGAAGAAGCGAGGCAAAGTCGATCCAGCGCAAGCTCTTCTAGAGTGCTTGCTTTGGTGCTGGGAGCAAATTCGGAGCTCAACCCATCGTAGAAGTCACCTCGCAGGAAAAGATCAAGCCCTTCAAGGCGCAACGGCTGTTGGGCTTGTGCGGAAGGCGCAAAGGCGAGAGTGCATGATCCGAGATGGACGGAGGTCCTGGAGGCAGAATTGAACGTAACTAAAATGGCCGGAGGTCGTTTTGGCGAAACGACTCAATAATCCCACGCGGCCACGTGAACCCCGCGAGCGAAATGTAGCCGTGAAATTCTGTGAAGAAGCCGCCGAAATCCGGAATATGACCGTGAAAGTCCGTGAAAAGTTGTTAAGAACAGCTTTGGCCGCAATTGTCCCGCGAGCCGCAAGTTCCCCAACATTTGTTCAATGTAGGGGCAATTTCTGGGGGACCAATGTTAATGCTCCGCAAATCAGACCTGGTACTCAGACCTGGTACTGCGTTTTGTTGGACCGCACCGAGCCGGACTGAGTGAGAGGGTGCAAGGGCCTGGGTCAGGCAAGAGCCAGTACACAAAATGAATTCAATCAACACGACAAAAACATGAATAATCCAAAGGGGAGGTTTTGGGGCATCTCCAGAAATCTGTGAGCGTGTTATTTTTGCTAAGTAAGCGTTTCCTCAAATTTCGACAAGTGTCAGCCCATGTTTAGCAATGCAAGGCTAATAATGCAAAATACAATCGCAATACTGTTTGCAAAATGTCTAGGAAATGGGACACTACTAGAGGGTTTGCATGATATGCTCATGATTTGTCAGCTAGTCCCAGTAACGCAAAACATACAATCTTTCCTATATCAGTCACATTTTTTCAACCCCAAATCAAAAAACAATGCAAAATCTTAGTTTTTCTGTCCGTGAATGAGGTCGAGAGCGGTATGCCCGCATGCCTCCAGGGTTTGCGTGGTCAGAGGTGGGGGAAATAGTAATTTAGATGCCCCAGTATATCTATCTATCTATCTATCTATCTTTATCTCCATTAAGTCATGTGTGCAGCGTTCTTTTCTAGATCTATGTGTCTATCGATCTATCGATCTATCGATCCTTCTAAACGTATCTACCTTCTGAGATTTGCCTACCACACCTCTTGCTGGCAGTCAGGACGGTCGTTGTGCATGGTTGGGCTGGTCTGAGGTGGTTGGGGTTGGGGATGGTTGGGGCCGTCAGATGGTGTGTGTGTGTGGCGATTGATGGGCGTGTTCGGATGGCCGGTGTAGCGGGGATGGTCTGGAGGGATAGTTACGGACCGAGTGGAAAACTGAAGCAAGGTTCGCCGACCATCAAGTGTTTCGTTTTGCACAGCGGCCAAAGTAGATTTCTTTGTCCACCAAGAAGTGCGCCGCTGGCCAAGCGCGTCCGGTTTCACATTAGCCATTCAGCAGGCGAGCAATTCCGGAAAGTGAGTTGCCGCAGTTTCGGGCAGGTGCCAAGGCTTGTTTAGCTGTGTCCTTGTTTGCGCTTTGGCCTCCCATGTGACTTACATACTGTAAACGCTACACACCAGCCAATTGCTTGGGGGTGTTTAAACTACTATCAGCCTCTCATTCAGTGTGCAGTTGGTTCGGGCTGCTTCTTGCGCGAACTGAGCAGCCCTGGCAGACCTTTGTGCACGGGGTGAGGAGCAGATCTGCATGCTTGCAGAGCGCCATCCGGACATGCGCACTATCCTCATCCGCTGCTTGATTGCAGAAGTGTGTGACAGCGTGACAGACAAACCCGTGTTTCTCAGCGCGGGTCCTGAGGTACTTTGGCCAAGTGCGGCTCCATCCCAAACGAGGTTGGTCCGCCCTGTGGGGCGCCCAGCGTGGCTTCAGTCCCAAGGCCTTGGCAAGTTGAGTGTCCAAAAAGTGCCCTTTCTGACGAAGACTCTGCCCAGGTCTGAACTGCATGGCTTTGCTGGCGCAAGCTGATGAAGATACTCGCAAATCTGTCTTCAGTGTGGTGCAGGTGTGGCAGATGGGCATTCAGCGGCCACTGTCAGCTTGTCAAAGATGCGTGCTCAAGACTCAAGACAGTATGTGTGGTGAGGAGATCATAGTTCCTAGCCTGCCAGAGGGGCAGCATATGCAGGACCGGGCTTGCGTTGAGTCGCCAAGAGGGGGGTATTTGTTCTGTCCGTTATTGTTCGGCCCACCACCATCCTACATGCATCCTCGTACCGCTTGCAACTTCAGGGCACACCTTTGTCCACAGCTTGAGTGCGAAGTTCATGCTGCAGCCATGCGATTGGGTTTGCTTGAGGATGCTGCTGCTCAGCAGCTTTTGCAGGCAGCCACCTGGTCTGAATTGAGGGTAGAAATTGTTGCATTCAAGAGGGCGGAGGCCTGTGGAGCCATGCTTGTGTTTTGTGAGTTTACTCCCCTTTTGTGCTCAAACGCGCCCTTTGTGTTCGAAGACAAGCAAGCATGATTTAGGTCGAACTCTCTCACGCTGACTCCTTGCAAAGGGAACCCCCTTCCTCCTTGAAGTGTCGCGTGCGGTTTCCGAGCGATTTCCAGGAGGTGTTGGAAGACGCACGAACAAAATAATTAGACAGAGCCTTTTCGCTTGGTGCTTTGGCGATGAAGACCCGGCGCCTGCGCTGCAGTCATGTGCGGCGCGTGAAGTTCATGAACACAGTTGCTGATTGCCATGAGTTAATGGAACGATTGCACGGGAAATCCGATGACCAGCCTGCATTTACGTCAAGACTCAACATTTTAGTCCTGCTTCCCGTATCTAGAGTCGAAGGCGTCCATTCAGATATGCGCAGCCGAAACATTGGCTGCAAATCGAAGCAGAGTCTGGCACTGTCCATGGCGTGTGGGATTCTCAATCTCTCCACATTCACAGGACTTTCAGTCATGGAAGGGACTACGCGCAGCCCGGGTGAGCCTGGCATTTGGTTGATACTTTTCTGATTGGACGCGCGGTTGAGTTGTATGTGCCAGCCCCCTCTTTGTCACAGCTGTTGCGTCCAAAGTGCCTCACTTTCCACGCGCCAGCCAGCGTTCCTGCGGTCTTGAACCGCCTTGAAGGATTCACGTCCTTAGCCCGAGGCTCCCTGAATCGCTGGCCGCTCAACTCCCGAGCCGCCCGCGAAGTCAAATAGACCCTTAAATCTCTAAAGGCCTGATTTCTTGTACCTCAAATTTTTAGCTCCACTTGCTACAGCAAACTCTGAACAACATGGACTGATTAGCAATTCTCACATTTTTGGTGACCCTCCCTTTTTGGCCTTTTGCGGCCCAATCGCGAAATATTCATGGGGAGAAAGTCAGAGTTAAAGACTGGGGGCGATACTGGCACCGGGGCTCCTGCCTTCCAACTCAACACTGGGTAGGAGGTTTGGCCACGTAAACAGTCAGGACGTGCTTTTTTATTCGCACGGCCACGTAACACAAACTGCACTGCGCCCGCGGCAGTACATTGTTTTACTAGCAGTTGAGGAAGTCCTTTAAAAAAGACTGGGTGCAAGCGGCAGCCAGGGCAGCAGGCGCCGCCTTCGACCCCATCGCCTACTGCTACGACAGTTGCAACAGACGCATGTGGCGCAGACGGGCAAAGCCGGGCGGCCTCGCCAACTGGGGCCGCTTTGCAAGGCGTACTTTTTCCCCAGCCGCAGTAAGACAAGTCTACACAGGCGTCGTCTCGCACAAGCGCAGGGGATCGTCCAGCCTAGTCCTGTGCCACAGTTCGAGGCGGGAGGTTTTTAGGCCGAGGTACGGCCCCCGTAAAGCCGTGAAAACTCGGCCGAACGACCGAAAGGCCGTTACCCTCCGTGAAAAAGCCAAAGCTCAGGAAATGTCACGCTTTGAGTTATCTTGTCCTCACGACACCAAACACCTTCTTAGCTCATACGGCCGAAGCAACTCGCGACTCGGAGCCTCCTGGTTATTCTCGCCCGGCATCATTGGCAAGTCCTGCAAAGCCTTGAAGGCAGCTACACCGTAGGCAGCCAAGTTGCGCTTGTTCGGCGCTTCGGTAAGCTTAGCAAACAAAGGGTTATACTTCGCAACTTGGTTGGATCCGGCGGGGCCGTCAGAGGTGGATTCTGCGCGTGGAGCTGCAGCAGGATATGGCAAGGGCCAGTTGGCCCGTGAAACGCTGATGTCGGCTAACTGCAAGAACGCGGCCAGCATTGCGTTGTATGTAGAGAGCAGCAAGCAAGCTCACTTCTTTGGCCGGCCACATCAACCGGCGCTGGAGGAGTTCGATACCCACACCTCTCCTGACGACTCGTGTGACGCGCAGTCCTCCAAGGCAACAAACCTTTGAGAACGCGAAGGCGGGACTGTCGAGGTCCTGTAATTCACAATCGACCTGCGGTTTTTGGACCGCGGGGCCGCAGCCCAAGGCGCGGCAGGTGACCAGTGTTCCGCAGCCCAAGCGTCTGCGCACAAACATCGTGCAGCGACAGCGCAGCCAAGTCCACCTCAGCTCTTCAAGTTGCCCAAGAGCCCAAGCCTCTGTGAAGAAAGGAGCAGCAGCGTTTCCCTCCGACATGCGTACGGACACGAGAATGTGTGAAACTCGTACTCAGGTCCGGCTGGGAGATGGATTGCCCTGCGTGTTTCCTCTTCCTCCCGCACATCACGCTCCAGCGCAGCGTCCGTTTGGGAGGCAAGTTTCAGGAACGAACCCAAACCTGTTCCTTGCTTCTGACAAAGTGTGTTGGAGGAGTTTCTCCTATGCTTAACTGGCCCGAAGAAACGCCGGAGGTTCTTGGCGCGTGCTGCGGTGTCTTGTTTGGAAACGGGAAACTCTACACCGCGTACCAGAGTAGCTGTCCGTAGTTGCATAGATCCTGCCGAACACCTGAGTGACCATCACCCACTGCGAGTACCGCACCAGCAGTAGCAACCTACTGCAGTGGCGCAGCGGACGCGCCAACCAGATCGTCCGGTCATCTTGTTTCCGCGCGGCGCGCGCAGGTTTTTATGAGATGGACACACTTTACATGCTGCGCGGCGGCTTGCCTGCGAAGTTCCTCCTCGCTTGCGCGTTGTGCCAGAAGACGTTTGTCGTCCGGACGCAGGGGGTCGTCACATGTCCATCAAGTCTTGAAACGGCACGGCAAACGCTACGGCGGTGTCGAATTTTCTGAAACTTCTGGTTCCCTTTTTTTGTCGGTTGACGCTGTTTTCTTTCGTAGATGACCTTACCCTGACGGCCTGACTGGGCCGGACGCTAACCGCGACGCTTTCTTGGAGAATGTTATAACTTTCGTAGACAGCGAGCCGCCTGAGCAGGTTTATCGTCTTCTCGGCCGCAGCCAGTGCCAAGGGTGCTGATGAGCCTCGTTTCTTGCGACTTCGTTTTTTTCTCAATTCCACTTGTGCTGGTCGGCTGCCTGGCGCTGTTCTTCATGAGCCGGAACAGCTGCTACTTGCGCTGCTGAGATCGCAGGTAAGTCAGATGCGAACTCCACGTCAAGGGGTTCCTCGCCCTTCAAGGCCCTCGGACCCGCTTCCAACGCTAAGTAAGAGGCAGACCTTGGCGCCCCGTCCCACAAACAAAGTGTTGGGCGTCTTGTAGACGCATGACCGTTGCAAAGGGCCGCAAACCTTCCTGCTGGCCGCAATCTTCTTGCGAAGATCGCGAAGAGGGGGGGTCGTCGTAGTAGGATGTTTACAGTGCTAGGGAGCCTGGAAACCGGAAAGGGCTTCAGCAAGAGGCAGGCAACATGAGATTGTGTGTTTGCAGTTTTTGCTGTGTCTGGCTCAAGAAAAAGGGGTCGTGTCAGTGCAGGTTCGTGCGTGCCGCAGCAGGCTGAGGGCAGGGGCCATAAGTTCTTCCCCGTTTGATGTAATGACCATGTTCTTGGCAAGTGAGGTTGCAACTCCGAGCGGCGAAGGCTTGGAGGGTGGCTTGGCCCAGGCGTGGGGTGGGACAAAACCCATTAGGCTGCATATGTGTGCAGCTTGGTGTCACACATTCGTACGAGTCAACGAGCTGAAGCGCTGACTCCTCATCAGCTACACCCATCTCATGTCAGTAGGCCCCGGACGAGTGCCTGCGGGCAAACCTTTCATGGGTCTCTCAAGATCCACGCACCCCAGGCATGATTTGGTAGGCTGTGTTTCTGCTTGTTTTGCAAGGATTATCGGTCGCTGCTTGTTGCCGGGTTTAGGGTAGGTTTGGTTTAGGCTGGCTTTGTGGTGAGTGGCCACAGTCAACAAGCGCGCTAGAGCTGTGTTGTACCCCAGCAGCAAAGCCAACCCCCAAAATCCTGCGCCGGTCTTCCTTCCACTGCAAGTAAAGCTGGTGTTTACCGTGTTAGTTGTGTTTAACAAGTACCAGCAGTGTGTTTGATGCTGGCGCAAGGTAATGCCAAACTTTGGCACCCTTGGAGAGAAACCCCAGCATCCCGAAGACAGCAAACAGAGGTAAATGAAATTTCCACCAATGATGGTCTAAAGGTTTTGCTTTTCTGGTTCTCAGGATACAAGACTCTGCTAACGTGGTGTCACTTTACTTAGGAACTGGCAATTGGCTGCTCTAGGTTGCCTCTTTCGTACCAGCTTTCTTGACCCAAATGGTTGCCCTGGCTGCACGACCTATGCAGGAGTCGATGGGCGGCTTGCAGCACAAGCGGCTTGAAGAGTTGGATGAAGAAGAGGCTGGGCCCAAAGGAATCTCACCCTACTTGCACCTACAAAACCCACAGAAGACGCTTAACCGAAAACGTGCGGGGGTCGAACGCGCAGGCTGCCATCGTTGCCTTGTAAACACCGCTTGTTTTTTGTGGTTGCTGTTTCCACACTTTTTTGGCAGGTTTTGTCTGTGCTATTTCGTGAGGACTGCTAACCTCCCCCCTTCTGGAAGCCAATAATCATTCAACATGCAATTTGCATTAGGGAGCTTAAGCAGTTCAATTCCTCACCAAAAAATAAATGGCAATGCAGAATTTAGCACTGGCAACTTCAGATTAGGTACTAGGTTTAGTACAGGCAAGCAAATAATATGACTTTTCCGTGCGTGCCATGAGCCGCAGCAAAGGTGTCTATCTTTTCACAAGACATGAACAACACAGGGCTTGCACAAAGATAGACCCTTTCCCTGAAACTGCAAACGAAGCTCTGACGGACACTGCTCGGGTCTTGCGCGGGACCCAGACATCTGCAGAGGGAGGGTTGATTGTGGACTCGCAGAGCTACCCCCTTTGTTCTGGAAGTCAAAAATTATTTCAAGATGCATTCAAGTCCTCACTAAAATTAAATACTGGCAGTGCTCAATTTAGTCTTGGCAATACTAAGTATAAGACTTGCAAGTTCAAATTAGGTAGTGCAAAATAAATTTACAGCAGGGAAGCAAGAAATATACAACTTTTCCGGGCCATGAACCGTTGTAAAAGTGTCTATCTTTTCGCAAGGCCTTTAAAACACAGGGCCTGCGCAAAGATTGAAACTTTTGACCGGAGAGTTTCCATTTTTCCGCGGGGCCGCCGAAACCTGCAGAGAGGTGATTCCGTTTTCGCACGAAGACCAAATTCAGTAGCGATAGATAGCACTAAAATTACACTCAATACTCCATTTAGTACTGGCAACATTACATTTGGAACTGTTTTCCGGGCCAGAAGCCGTAGCAAAAGTTTCTATCTTGGTTTGGCTAACTGCCTCAAAAAAAATAGCACACGGGCTGAAAAAGACGACCCCGCGCCTTTTCGTTATGTAAGGGGCCGTCCCTTAGTTTGTTTTGCAGGCAAAAACCATTGTAAACCGACACAGAGGAGAAAAAACCGATACCCCCCAGAAGCCATGATGACACACATCAGGTCCAAGTTGTTGTCGCAAACCCAGATTGCGGAATCATAAATTTGCAGGGCCCAAGCAGATACCCAAACCGATGCCCAACCGATACCCAACTCATTAGCCGCCGTGCCGAATCCAACCAGCTGCCCTGCAGCCTTTCCCTGGAGCTGCCAAAATGTACTTTGTGTACTACAGTCGTACTGACAAGTTGCGACTTCCGCGCTGGAGCTGCCAAAGTGTACTTCGTATACTACACTATACCACACTTACTTGCATTGCAAAGCTGCGACTTTCGAGCCGGAGCTGCCAAAGTGTACTGCGTATACTACTGAACAGTTGCGACTTTCCAGCGGGAGCTGCCAAAATGTACTTTGTGTACTACACTTGCGCTACCAAAATGTACTTTGTGTACTACACTTGCGCTGAAAAGTTGCGACCGCAAACCGATGCTGAGGAAAAGAACCGATACTGACCGACGCTAGGGCATAAGGATACAAGGGTTGCCCACGGGGTTGCTTTTTCAACCCACATGTGTTCTAGCTGGAGGTGTTGCCGAGCTTGTAGGTGTTCAAACTATGAACTATGTGAGAATGATAGCTGCTCTTTTTTAGAAAGTGTTCGAAGTGGTGTTGCGAAGGTTAGCTTTAGGAACCACGATCAAACATGTTGGGCCCGTTGATTTTGATTGGGGCCGCTAGAATAGACAGGTTGCCCACTCCAAAACACGTAAACAACGTGATTTCAATTTTGGAAAAACAAACCGAAACCTTACACCTAGGAAATCCAGTTTTGCTCGTGGTCCCAAAACTATCAGTCCTTATATGAATCCACAGAGCAGGGAGTTCCCCACAGGAGCCCCCGACCCTCTTCCAATCCGACTTGTGTGAGTTCTCTTAAATGTCATTTTGTCGTTTTTTTGCTCAGAGGCCAAAGGCCTTTAATCTAGAAACAAACCATCATTTGTTTATATACACCGTTAAAACCATGCCAAGCCAACATAAGGGTCGCCCGCAGGCAGCAGGAGCCCCTGATCCTCTTGAATCTGACTGCTTTGTGGTCCTTTTTCATGGCAAGTGTTTTTCCTGGCGGGGTTGAATCTTCCAGATGAAAGCCCTAGCCTGGCTCACCTAAGCTCTTCCCAGCTTAAAAGCTAAAGGCCTGAGATCTAGGCAATAAAGACAAGTTGCCAGTACTGAATTAAGTACATGAATTGTACGCCTTAAACCAAATGCAGGAAATATAAGATGCAATTTTGGCAACCTAAATTAAATTCTAGGAATGTAAGATTTAGCCTTGGCAATTGAACAAGTCGTAGTACTTCTAAATTAATGACGGGGAAGGTACGATTTAGTTTTGGCAATGCTGAATTTATTATTGGCCAAACTAAATCAAGTATGGCCCAACCCACCCAACTCCCGAGTAAAGAGGGTATTTTGACGGCTGGGGCCCACATTTATTAGGGCTGGTGCCGTGTGGGGCAAGCGTGTTCCCTTTTCCCGGTTGCGTGGTCTGCCCAGGCATGATTGCACTAATCGCACGCGCGGGCCACATTCCCAAAACAACCCCGAAACACGGACTGTGTCGCTTGTCAATACTTAACACAGTTTTAGCTTCGCGCCAGTTTTGACACGGCCAGTTTTGGAAACTACAAAAGCGCAACGGAAACGTAGCCCCTTTACGAACGCTTCAAGTGTCCAAAACGTACCGGAAACGGAGCCGGAGCCCCTTGACACAAACTGGGCCATGTCAAAACAACTTGTGTCACGTGCGTGTAAAAATGCAAAACAGTCAAACAAGTTACCAAGCAGGGCCGTCTCAAAACTTGTGTCGAAGCCCCCCGTGTCAGAACTTGTGTCAAAACTTTAGCAGAACTGCCGTGTCAAATCTTCTCACAACCTACTGCATATAGCCACAAAAAAGTTTTGACATGGGGAAGTTTTGACACACGGTTTGACACGGCGCCTGTCTGGTGACTTGTTTGGCTTCTTTGCACTTTTTCCCGCGCGCCGGGAGTTTGAACACAAGTGGTGGCACAAGTTTTGACACAATCGTCAACTTACGTTTTTTGTTGTTATTTACGTCTGGAACCTGCCTCAATCGGTCCCCTCCCCCCAACAAACATTGCCAACAGTCATGTTGACCTTCTTCTGTCGGAAATTTTGCGGGGCCTGGGTTGGACTTTGCTTGACTTAGTGCTGCCAAGCGTAAAGTTTAGTATTGCCAAGACTTAATCTTAGACTGCCAGTGCTAAATTGGGTGCTGCACGGCCTAATTTAATTTTGTATTGGCAACACTTAAGTTAGTGTCGCCAAAGATAAATCTCAGATTCCCAGTATTTAATTTAGTGTTGCAAAGACTTAATCTTAGATTCCCAGTACTTAATTTAGGGTTGCCAAGGCCAAATTTGGTATTGCCGAGAATTAGTCTTAGATTCCCAGCACCTTTTCCCAGACTCAATCTTGGATTCCCAGTACTCCATTTAGTTTGACCAAGACTAAATTTAGTATTGCCAAGATCTAATGCCTTTAGCCTTTGAGCTGGGAAGGGCTTGGGTGAACCGCCCTCCAAAGAAAACGGCTACGGCTTTGGTGTGGAATGTCACCCCCAAAACAGAAACAACACAGTGTTGCGTGACAGTAAAGCGGACCCCCAAAACAGTCAGACTAAAGAGGAGCAGCAACCCCCTGCATGTAGCTGCCTGGGAAGAACTTAGGGCAACCAGGCTAAGGCTTTGATCTGGAAGTTCTCACTCTCCAAGCAAACTTGATATTAAAGAGGGCGCCAAAACAGTCAGATTAAAGAGACCAGGGGCTCCTGCGGGCACCCCCCTTTGTGTGGCTGTTGGATTTTGTTGTATCTTGGGGGCGGCGCGTCACTTGTGACCTGCGTTTGTTTTCGCGCCACTGACGCACGTGCACGCGCACGCGCCCACGGACCTTGGGGCAAATGCCCAAACGAAGGCTCTTAACTTTTACCGAAACACCATTGTTGCTCTAAATTGTTTCTTCTCCTAGGTCAAATCTGGGGCAAAACCTTGAACATTTAGAAGTGTTGTTCTGGGGTTGGAAAAAGCCGCCTGAATGGTTACACCCCCTTGTTGCTTGACACGGTGGCGCCCTAGTTGCAATTAACAGTTCCCACGAAATGGCATAGTTTTGTCATAGAAACGTGGAACACAGGATTTCAGGTCTGAAACTCTGGTTTTCGGGGCGTTACTGCTTGGAGACGAAGGAACGTCTGTCGCGCAAACCCTCAAGGTTCCCCATCCAGCCTGGCCAGTTGGTGCTGAATCAGGCACGCCTCCAGCGCGCGTGATTCTAAACTCATACCAGCGTGGAAAAGGAAGGATATTTTCTTGACTCGAGCAGCCCCAGAGATCGTAGGATTTCACAGCGCGAAGGGCTGTGCCTGATGTCTCCTGAGGTCCAGCAGCTGTTGCAGATGCTAGACCCGGGAATGGTGGAATCTGCCGAGCGCCTTCTTGGTGCAGTGCTGTGCAATCTGACGCCTGGAAGTGAAGCCTTCGCTGTGCTGGGGGCTCTGTTTAAATAGATGAGCTAAAGCGATTGCCGCACTAATGGCGCCTGTGTTGTGACAGGACCGTATGTGTTTTTACTCTTGTGAGGTGGCTGACACATATCGTCGCATGTTTGCACCCAAATCGCCGAGGGAGGTGTTTGAAAGGGCCCTGCAAGGCTGGGGTTTGGAGCTTCGGGTGTTGACAGGATGGCAATGTTGTCTTGCTCCTTTGCCTTGTCAGAGCGGAACAGAAGCATTGTATATGCGAAACTAAGCTCCTGGGTCTACCTGCTGCAGCCGGATGCTTCTGGATGAGGGCGACGTAGACGACCTGCCCATTTACACCCGAAAAGACGTTACCTCCACATGTTCAGGATATTTCCGTGGCTCAACGGTAAGTCCGTCCACCCCACTTGCGACCAACACCGCAGCGCAGAGCGGCCTTTGCTGTCTGCCACCTGGCGCATCTTCCATTCCCGCAAAGTTTTGTTTCCGCAGCTTTTACGAACGCCAAGCAAGTTTTGTTTCCGCAGAACGTTACGAACAGATCATCAAGCAAGTTTTGTCCCCCGCAGAACTTGACGAACAAATCGTCAGGCAAGTTTTCTCCCTGCAGAACTTGAACTTTACGAACAGATCCTCAGGAAAGCTTTGTCTTACGAACAGACTTTCAAGCAAGGTTTATCTCTACAGAACTGTACGAACAGACGGCCAAGAAGATTTCTCTCCGCAGAACTTTACGAACAGATTGTTGAACAAAGTGGTCTTCTTTGCGCATTTTTCCATTTTCCAATCACTTGTTTTGCAATTTCTCCTTTTCCACGCCTGGTGTGCCAAAACGCGTTACGGTCAGACTTTTACAGACTTGTGTCATCGTCGCAAAAAAAGCTCAGAAATGAGAAATGAAAGAGAGCCAAAACCTGCATTGACATGTTGTACCTTACAAACAGATTGCCAGGCACATGAATGTTGTTTCCGCAGAACCAACCCGCATTTCGGACAAGCAAAATTTGTCTTACGAACAGATGGTCAAGCAAGTTTTGTCTCCGCAGAGCTTTACGAAGTGATCGTCAAGCAGGGTTTGTCATCGCAGAAGTTTCCGAACAGGTCGTCAAGCAAGCATTGTCTCCACAGAACTTTATGAACGCAATCTGGCTGAAAACTATGAGCGCTGGGAGTCTGGGAGTCCTTTGGCTGATTCCTGCGGAGATGAATTTTCTGGGCCTGTGGCCTCTGGCCGGCTCATGTTGTTTGTATGAGAAACGTATCCTGTGCTACGATATGGCTGGCTAGGTTACGCATGTTGCCCGCCCCAGCCCCAGATGATGCCGGGGATGCCAGCTTCTGGGCCCCAGCCGGGCCCCAACCCAGAAGGCTGACGTGGGGTTGCGCGTGCGCGCGCGCCAGAGGCCCCAGAAAGAGCAGCCGAGAAAGAGCAGCCCGCAAGCCAGCCCGGAAACGCAAATGCAACAGAAGACCGTAAATAGCAGCGTTTTGTGGCTGGGGTCGCGCGCGCGCGCCAGAAGGCCCGAAAACCAACGGGGAAAAGCCAGGACCGCGCAGCGCGCGAGCCAGCCGCAGCAAAAGCAAAACGGACAGAACAACAGCCCACCGCTCAGCACAGCAGTTTTGGACAGTATTTACAGCGTTTTGTAGAGCGAGGACCCAGCGCTTGGCGCCAAAATGCGCGAAAATGAGCCTCGCTTATATCCCTCCGACACCTTCTACAGTGCTTCATGGGTTGAGAGGCTTTTTGGAAGATGCAGACCAAGCCCCGCTGAAGCGGCCCAACCCCAGACCCTGATGATGTCAGCCACATGGCTTGCGCGCGATCTAAGACGGATCTTTTAGCTTGCGAATGTACCCATAGGCAGCAAGTAAATTGCACGAGTCCTGCCTTTTGGCTGGGGAACTTTACAGTCGGGTTGTCCTGACACTCAGTGGTCCAGAATTTACGCCTAGATTCAGCTACATACATAAGCATAGGGGTTTTGGAGGAGTTTAGCCGGCAAGCGTACAGCGGCGCAAGTCAACAGGTACGACTGGCGCAGTAAGAGGGTACGCCTGGTGCGGCGCAACGGTGCGACTGGGACAGTGCTGGGCGGCAGCCCTTAAATCCGGCTACGCCTCCTGGGGTAGCATGTTGCCGCTAGGCAATTAGCCTGCGAGCTTCAGCTATACAGGCGCTGCACCCGTGCGCCGCCGACCCTCGTCACTTGGTCGTGATGCGTTGCCTAAATCCGGCACCTCTGCATCACCAGCTTTTGCTTGCCTGCGGGGAAACCCTCGCAAAACATCAGGCGTGTGCAGGGTTTAGGCGCTCAACAGTGCGTCACAGTCCCCAGGAATGAGCCACTGTAGACTGAATATGTACAGCTCGATTGTTAGTAAGTTACTCCGCAGGCAGAAATTAGCCACTGTCACAGGTATATTAATTGTATTTGTTTAGTGGGCAAGTAGTCTCCACGGGAAACCCAGAAGTCGCACAAGTGACGATGTTGGAAGTGCTGGTGCTAGAGTGAGTCCTTGCAAAACTTGACAAGTATCTGGGGACTTGCTCACGGACGGAGTTTAGATAACACAAATTTGTCAGACACGTGAGATTGATTTGTGAATGTTGCAAGTTGGTCTTGGTCAGTCTGATCAGTTGTGCTTGCGTATGCTGTTTTTTAGGGCACGGATGATGAATGACATGAACAGTTAGGTTGGCCAATCAGTGTTAAGCAGTCCAAAGGATGTAGCAGCCTGCGCCTGCAATCATTCCAGTAGACCACTAACAAGACTGTAAACAATAATCGCGATTTGACAGCATGTAACTGTAGTCTACACAGCCGCAAAGAATCTGCAGCGTCTATTGAACATTGTCCTTTTCCGAAAGTCAAGTAACTATGTACTTCCTAGAAACCAAGCAATACCTAAATCGTACAGCACGCGCGAGCCCGCTAAGGGCCCAGCTGCGCAGACAAGTCAAGGCGAAACTCGCCTGCGCTCCGGAGCGCGGGTTAATTATCTGTAGATAAAGAATATGTGCTAGTTTTGTCATAAAACATGAACCTATGCCGCAGGCAGGAGCAGGGTTTGGCCAGGACTGTGGCTAGACAGTCAGCACCTGCTGTCGCAACTAGCACATACAAATCAAAGCGAGAAGCATTCACTGGCTGTCCCGATCTGGTCCACTCAATTGTCTATCAGTTATTCAGAATGATGCGGCATGTTTTGGGGTCCATCAACCAGCTGCGCTTAGTCTAGCGCGGGCTTAGTATTGTCGTTGTTTCATGGATAGCTGGAAAAACAAAGGAACCCATAGTACCATCAGACATGTTCTGAAATAGTTCACCATCTTCTTTAAAAGACCCCCAGACCATGCCATGGCTGACCACCGTTCATTGCTTGCCAAGGTAATTTGCAGCCTCCTGCCAAGCCGTCGCAGTGATGATACCGATGGTCGACTCAACCAACCTGAGGGCGCGTCCAAACTTTGTTGCCTTTGCGGCTTGCAAGCTGGTCCTTGGAAGTTGTCTCGTGCTGGGCCCGCGGGAAAATCGCACCTTTTAAGTGCGAAACCTGCTATGGCGAGAAGTTCCGAACCCAGTGCAACAGTAGCGCCCGAAGTTCATGCCCGGAGCTTTGAAAATTGTGCGACGCGCAGACTTGTGCAGAGCAGCTTGCGCAGAGCGCTTGTGCAGATCAACTTGCGCAGCGCGCTTACGAAGAGCAACTTGCAAAGAGTGTCTTGCGCGCAGAATTTGCGCACGGTAGGACAGACGTGGTTTTTCGAGGTCGAGAGTGGCATGACCTCTTGAATTGTGACCGATCGCACCTCCAGGCTCCTGTGTCTTGCTTCTTTGTGAGGCTGTCTCCGCGTTGTCGTGAGGCTGAACGCCTTGGCCATTAGTAATTCTTTCGGGCCAACCGCCCCCTAGTTTCAACACAGACAGGTGCGAATGAACATGGTTCACATCAAATGACCTCAGAAGCGCCATCCACCCCCATCCAGATTTCTCTAATGAGCGCGAGGCCCTTCAAAGTGTCATCCTTGTCCGCGTTGCCAGTTGTTGGCAGGGCTAGCCTTGTTGTAGACGTGTTAGGCTTGCAAGCAACAAAGTGTGAGGTAGTCTTGCGTTGTGTCACAAAGGCTTATATCAGCCTCCAACACACGAGGCGCTAAAGATGCTTAGCGCAAATTCCAGATTTGCGCGCTTCCCCGATTTCAATCAGGCGCTGATTCAGGATAGGAAGGGCGCGGGCGCCTTTGCCTTGCACCAGGCTCTTGGAGTCAACGTGGCTTACAGCAGCAGGCGCTTCGCATGATGTCGCGGCTACCCTTTATTTTTGGACGTCGTGTTTCTACAAGCGCGCGGTTTCCGTGGGCTCTGTTGACTTTTCGTTCTTGCAGAACCGCGACTGCAGACAACGAACAGCAACTCACCTCTAACGGCAGGTCAGGCCGAGCGCCAGCCAGCCAGGCCTGCGCCAACTGTTTTCAAACCAGCTTCCCCAGTCGCAACCGTTTAGTCTCCCGAGCCCGAGCAAAAGCAACAGCGCAGATTGCAATCTGTTGGGCCCCCAAAGTTCGTTCGTGTTAAGTTTCGGCATCCATAACATGACATTTCCAGGCGTGATTGACAGCGCTCAGCGTACTTGTGCCTTACAACTTCAGCCCAAAGTTGAACGCGCCGGGTGAATCATTTTGCGGACCAGCTGAAGTGCGACGGTTGCCAACCAGTTGTGGGGCATGAGCCAGGAAGCGCGCGTGCAAACTTCAGTATCCGGCCTGTAGACACACTAGGGAGCCCCAACCTTGTCAGCTCAGGCGCCGACAAAGATGTGACCAGGTCAAGGATCTGCTCTTTTCTTTGCTCCGCCATGACGCGTCGCAGCTGTAGAAATCTGCGCATGGGGTTTGACCCAACCGGCGTGATAAGGCTATAAGGCGAAACGCGTGTTGCCACAGATCCCACTGACTGGCGAACCAGACCCCAAGCTGTTGCCAAGGTGGTCGCAGGCGCAAAGTTCGTGACGCTCAGGATGGGTCCGAACTCCACACGTGCTGCGTCAAGGGTTTCAAGTGCGACGCCAGCGCTCTCAGCGTCCGCTGCGCCCTCCCAAGAGAAGGGAGAGGGCCAACAAGAGTGCGAACAAGGGTGGGAAGAAGGTGCCACGCAGCCAAGGAGCTGTAGTCCGCAGCAAGGTTCCAGACGAGGGGCTCCCAAAACGCCCAGCTGAGCTTGGCGAAGGGGCTTGGGTCGCGCGCAGCCTACTCATTCA